ACACACACACACACACACACACACACACACACACACACACACACACACACACACACACACACACACACACACACACACACACACACACAAACTTTTGTCTGGAGGAGGTAAGTTTCAACTGCAGTTTTCTGTCTTCCTTTGTTGATTGAGTTGTTGAGACACTTGGTATTGCCTGAGGATTCTCTTTCTCTTTCTGTGTGTGTGTGTGTGTGTGTGTGTGTGTGTGTGTGTGTGTGTGTGTGTGTGTGTGTATGAGAAGAGCGCTCAGATAAAAGATGGAAAGATAAAACATAAAACAGCCATAAACATGAAAGGGAGGAAATTAAAGTGACATTTTTGTTTGAATGAGTGCATTTGCACAACCGTCTCTGTTTGCATGTATTACATGCTGTGTTACATACTGTGTGTGTGTGTGTTTTAGAATGTTATATTTAGCTGAAAGCTGTGTGTTTGTGTGTACGATTATGACACATACGCAGATGTCCAATATTTAAAATTGCTGTTTTCTTGTATCCTCAAACATGCTGTGTGCATGTGTGTGTGTGATTGTTTGTGCGTGCGTTTGTGTTTTATATTGCAGAGGGATTTAATGTTGTTGGCAGCAAAATAGAAAAAAAACCAAATGTTTGATTGGCTGCCAGAGTCGACATGTTCTGCTCAGATCCAATTACCTTCAGAGAATCACACTCAGTGAGATGCAGGCACATGTACAGACACACACAACCTCACAAAGTGTATTCTCATTAATTTATGTCAGTGTGCAGCAGGGCAAACATCAGGTATAAACAAAGACACATAATTTCATATGTTTCTTTTTCAATACATGTATAAACTTATACACTTAAATGATTACAGCCATTTGTCAGTTGTGAGTAATTGCGGTGGTGTATTTGTTTTACTGTTAAATCTTTATTTATAGAGATATGTGCGTGTGTGTGTTGTTACATGTCTAACTCACCTCTGAGTCAATGTTGCTGATGGTCTTGTCCAGCTGCATTCCTCACAGCTTCAGTGTGTGTGTTTGTTGTCAGTGGCTTGCTTCAGCGGTACAGTAACACTGTCAGTGATCTGGCTCCTGGTGAACATGCAGTGTGTGCAGCACCACCTGCAGGAGCTGCCGGAATGACATCACTGAATCACCTTTTATTAATTCAGGTTCTGAGCTGCACTTGGAAAGAGAGGCATTTATATTGTTAATTTACTTCGTCGCAGATTGTAAGTCATGGCTCTTGATCCTCTGATTTGAGGAACGATTATCTATGAATGAAAGTATCTTAGTGTCCTTTAATGCTTATCTTCCCATGCATGCTGTGGTGCATTTGTACAGTATATTTGCATAATATAAGTATATAGGTAAAACGCCATGTGTGTGTGTGTGTGTTTGCATGTATGTGCGTGTATGTGTGAGAGCCAATGAGGCAGGAAAAGCAGAAGGTTAATCCCTTCTCAGTCTCCAGCAGAACAGATGTGAGGATTAATTTGTCAGTGAATCTGGGCTGGTGCTTATGTGCTTGTGTGTTTGTGAAAGAGTTTTGCAAAAAAACATAAATTCAACAAAATAAGCATTTTGAACCTGTGTAGACGTTTCCTGTCTTTGTGTGAATGCAAATCTTTTCATCACATCATGTCCTCTGTGCTCTGGTCTAATGCTCACTGGTGCATGGTGTGTGTGACTGTGCGATATCAACAAGTGTGTGTGGCTTTAAAACAAAGAATCAGAAGCAACACTTGGGAACAGGTGTGTGTTTGTTCGCCCGTCCTGATCCCCCTCCTTCCTGCAGCTCACCTTTTTTTGCATCTGTCATCTTCGTCACAAATAGTTGCAAAGATTAAATTTTTTCCTTTTTGTCCTTTAGCAAAGATCATGTGTTAATAGCAATGGGAAATTATAGACAGAATATTGAACTTAACAAACACAAATGCAAGGTGCACACCAGTTTGTGTTTGTGTGTGTGTCCTTACAGTGGTGCCCTAGATAGATTGACCTTAATGGCATGAGGCAAGTGTTGCTGTTGGAAGCTTTAGATTAAACCTTCTAAAGTGTGCACTTTACAGTTTCGTAATTTTCAGTTTCAGTACAGCAGGTCACTGCTGGAGGAAAATGAACGCAGAACTTTCTTATGGGAATTAAAACAACTCTTTGATGACGACTGCTTTATTGTTACCTACGTGTGTGTGTGTGTGTGTGTGTGTGTGTGTGTGT